TCGACCGCGACCAGGGCCTGCCCGGCTTCCAATTATTCGCCGAATTACGGGCCCCGAAGGCCGAAACCACTCGCGACGATTCTGCACCCGAGTGGGAAAGCTCGAGGAGCGCCCTCGGCGCCCGCGCCAGACTTCGAGATATGGAGGCAGCGCATTGCTTCGTCGAAATTGGCGAGGCCCGGCAGCGTTCGGAGCGCCGAGGGAGAGCCGGCAGGGGGCGCGAAGCACACGGGCCTCTCCTTTTCTCCAGTGGCCGCTGCCCGCTCTCTGCACGTGAGATCCTCGAGAAATGCGTTTCCTTGTTGCGCGCCGCCGCGCCTGCCCAGAGCTTCTGCTCAGCTCTTCGCGCCGCGACCGAGAAGGCTTCGGCGCCGAATGCCTCGACGCCCGCGAAGCCCCGCATCGCGAGCCCAAGACGCAACGAGACCCCCGCGTCGCCTTCGCCGTTCCTTAAAAAATCCATTCGTCTACAAAACGAGACGTCATGACGTCGGTGGATTCGCGCAGCGAGTGCGCGCAGAAGCAGGCGCTCTCGCGCAGCGCGGGCATAGGTCTCGATACCTCCAAGGGGTTTGCCTGAACGCCTGCCATCGCAAAAAAGTCATCCTCGCATGCGACTGAGGCGCCTTTCGATGCCGCAAGCGCGCGCCCTCATCGTGGACGCGTTCGCGTCGTTCACAAGTTGATTACGATGCTCTGATCACACTACCTTTGACACGTCCGCCGCGGCCGGCGCCCAGCGCGCAACTGTTGTCGCACTCGCACAGTTCCGCGGGCATGGCGCGCGATTCCAAGCCCTCCTCTCGCCCGCTGCAAGGCGCATTCGGCAAATTACCTCGCTCCTCACACATCGCGGAGGTCAAACCGCATTCGTCTTGCATCTATCGTGTCGACACAACATATAGCGCTGGGCCGCAATGCCTTCCACGGAGCTCATAAAGCCAATTCTCTTCCGTCCGCGGGCGCTTCACGCCAGTCGCCCGTGATGCGCGCATCCAGATATTCCTCCAAACTTCTCCTGGATCGTTGGGGGTCGACCAGCATCAGGTCCGCACGTCGTTGTTGTCGGTGTATTTCTTCTGCGGTCGGTCATCTGGACTACTGCCCGAACCGCCGTTGGCCAACTCCTGGAATTCAACGAAGTCCCCATCAAGCCTAGCTAATTCCTTGGATGACTTAAGAGGTTGGATGGCCCTGGATCGGGCACCGCCAGTGATGTCTTGGATGCGCGCGGCAGCCCCAGTTGCTTGGTAGTAGTGAAAGTCAGGACTCACGTCGCTGTCGCAGTGCATGAGCGGACTGCTGCTGGACCGCGCACACTGGGGTAGATTGCGCGCACTATTTGCGAGGCGCGCTGCAACTACATTCTCAATCCTGAAGTATGGCGGTTGTCTGCAAAGCTCGGTTGGCTTTCGCCACTACAGTTGCCTGCGTGGCGGCCTCTATGCTCACGCGGCGCACTTGCTGCACCCTCGTCGGTGCATCGCGCCCAGGCACGCTCGCCCGGCAGGCAGGCAGGCTGACATCCAAGCAGAACATTGCACGGTGATGCGCCGTTGTAGAAAGTGAAGGCGTCGGTCACAGATAAGGCTTCAGCAAGGGACCTGTTAAATTGAAGCGGTGCGCCCCTGTGTTTTAAAAACGTTGTCCATGATGCGCACCGCGTCGCGCAGGGTGCACGTCCTAGTTTCGATGCGGTCGCATGCTGACCAAAAGCTCGCATCCGAAGCTCAGTGCCCTCATCTGTTAGCATGGCTTTCGGCGTGTCGCAACATGGGGCACCGTCTCCACCGATGTACATGACCTTTGCTGGATCAGAGATGCCCCATCAGTAATGGTAGCCATATAAGATGGCGCGCATGGTCTGGTCAGGGATGCCCCGTCAACCACTCCATCTTACACAGCGGTCACCCAGCTCGCCTTCCGCGCCGCCACCCTCCGAGCCGCCGTCCGCCGACGCCGCCCTCCGAGCAGCTGTCCGCCAATGCCGCCCTCCGAACCGCGAACCGCCCCCACTCCTCCTCCTAATCGCCCCTGCCTTCAGCCTCGGCCGCCGCCAGTGGCCTCCGCCAGGAGCGCGTTCTCGCTGCCCGAGGCCATTTTGGCGAGTTTCATCTGGGCCACGTTATCATCCGCCTGCGCCTCCGCCAGCGGCGCGTGACCCGCGGCCGCCTAGGCGCTGGCCTATTCCAGGTCCACGTTCTCCCCCCGCCCGTCCTCCAGCGCGCCGAACGAGCTGCCACCTGCCGCTTCGCGTTCGAAGCTGCGAGGGCCGTCAGGCCCCGCCTCCCCCGCTCCTCCCTGCACCCCGCGCGCGGCGAAGAGTTCCCGCGCCTCCCTCGCCCGCAAGCCTGCCGTTCTGTTCGGCGACGTGCCACTCCCCTGGGCTCCACGGCTGCGACTGCTGCGGCTGCCTCTGCTGCTGCGCCCTCGGCGAGCTTCCAGCCCGCCTCCAAGCCGTCAGCGAAGACCGCCGCCGCCCACTCCACGAGCTGCACGGGACACCCAGCCACTAGGTTCCCAACAGGCAACATCGCGCGTTGCCCGCGCGCCAGTCCCAGCCGAGCAGCCCCCGCGGGCCCCCGAGCCTGCACTTGAGCCAAAATTGCAACGGACGACGGCGACGAAGAAATGACGTTGACCACGACCATGGCTGTAGCACACCAGTAATGAGCCTGCGGGGGAAACTTCGCCTCGCGTGTACACGACCCCTGTGACAATTTCTATGCGAAAGGCAATCGATTTGAAGCTGCCGAGCAGGGGGGGGTGGGGGCACGATCCCCTCGGCGGAGCCCGCGATGGCCCTTGGCACGCGCGATTTAAAAATTATGTTCGCGCCCCGCGGGGTGTGTTCATCAGGCCCGGTGCGGGGGAAGGGGGCATCATTTGTTAGTCACAAGCTGACATGAGTGAAGTGAAAGCTATGCGGTGCGATCTGTTTATGCCTTTTTTAACTACGTGGTATGAGCTATGGATGTGAATTACATGCAGTGCAAGCACTGCGGCGCAAGCTATGTCGCGCGACCCAGGCGGTGCAGAATGAAGGCGGAAGATCTGGGACGCAAGATGCGTGATGTGGGTTACATTGGGTACGACATGCGATGGCAGCTGTGCGGTGCAAGGCATGTGGCGAACACCTTGTTGCGCAAGCTCAGAACGTGGGGCACCCACGAGGGGCCCACGAGGCGGCACGGGCGGCAGCGTGGCGCAATCTCGGCATACACCCCCAGCGCACGGGGTGCCCACGAGGCGCCCGAGGGGCGGCAGCAGGCGACAGCGTGGCGCCAGCTCGGCATGCCTACCCCCTAAGCGCGGAGCGCCCACGAGGTGCCCACAGGGCGCCCACGAAGCGGCACGGGCGGCAACGTGGAGAAACCCCAGAATACCCAACCAAACCGAGAAATAAAAAACCCTAACTATAAGCACTGCTTGGGGAAGTAAAAAACACGTGAGCGGGGCTTCCAGGAACGTCCAGAGCTCTTCGGAGGCATCCAGGGGCCCTCAAAACTACAGAGCGTCCACGGAGCCTCGAAAATCGGATCTTCGAACCCCGAGCCGCCAGAGGTCTGGGCCCACAACCTTCCCGACCCCAGACGAAACGTTTTCTACAACCGAGATCCCTGGAGGCCTCCAAACCTCGGACCAAGTTTTGGTCATGTGATCCTGGGTCGGTGCTCAGAGTCCTGGGGCCTGGTAAGGGTTCCGAGAGGCCGAACAATACCAGAAACCATCCGTTCACGACGCGAGGTGGACTGGATTCAGGAATCAAGTATCGACCCCAGGACCAATCCTGGGCTGTGTTGTCGGGCCAGATTTTCGAGGCGGATCCAGCCGCCGCGGCTGGAAGCCTCCTGGACGCCCATCAACCCCTGAGGACCTTCAAGATTCAAGACCCTCGACCTTCGAATCTCGAGCCTCGATCATCGAGAACGCTTAAGATTTAAAACCCTCGATCTTCGAACCTCGAGCCTCGAGCATCGAGTCCCGACCTTCGCGCGGCGGGCGAGGCCCCTTTTCGCCGGCGCCCCTCGAGCAGTCTTCGCGCCTCTCGCGCCGATTGCCTGGAGGAGGCCCCTACGTGCTCGGGGCAGGCCACCCGCGCTCCCGGGGCCGCGGTCTGCAGGCCACCCTGGAGGCCAGAAGGCTCGAGACACTCGAGACTTCAGAGGAGGACTGAGGGAGGCTCGAGGACCCAGAGGGAGGAGGAGGAGGAGGAGGAGGAGGACGACAACGACAACGATGACGACGACGACCACGACGACGACGACGACGAAGACCACGACGACGACGACGACGACCACGACGACCACGACGACGACGACGACGACGAGCTTCGGAGGGAGGCTGAGGAGAGGTTCGAGGGTCCAGGTTCCAGGCTCCAGGAAGGAGAAGGCGGAGGAGGAGGACGACGATGACGAGAACGAGGACGAGGACGACACGACGAGGACGACGACGACAACGACGACACCGACGATGACGCGGGAAGGGGAAGATTCGGAGATCGACGATCAAGAATCCTCGTCGTTATGAGACGTTCTTCCACCCCATGGCGGTCTCCGCGGGGCCTCCAAAGCCTGCCGGGGTGGGAAGACCGGAAGTACACCAGGCAGGCCCTCCAAAAGGCCGAATAAAAACAACAACAATGCCCAAAGCGAACACCCCCCCCCCAGACCTCAGGGTGGCCAAACTCCCGCGCACCTAGGAGCCCGCGAGGCGTCTCTGCACGAAGGCAGAGCAAGCAGCGGCGGCAACGCAATCCTCCTTCCTTTCCCCGCTCTGTCCTCCTCCTCCTCGTCCTCCTCCTCCTCCTCATCCGGCTCCTCCTCCTCCTCCTCCTCCTCCTCCTCCTCCTGCTCCTCCTCCTCCTCCTCCTCCTCCTTCTCCTCCGCATCCGCATCCTCCTCCTCCTCCTCCTCCTCCTCCTCCTCCTCCTCCTCCTCCTCCTCCTCCTCCTCCTCCTCCTCCTCCTCCGCATCCTCCCATCAAGCATGCGCCTTGGGCTAGACATCAACCGTGCGGCTGAATTCGGAGGACTTTGCCCGGCGGGCATCGCGAGGGTTGAGCGCTGCGGCAAGGCACTGAAAATGCAACAGGCGACTCGGCCAAACGGTCCCAACGGGCGCTGGCACTTGACATTGTCGATGTGGGTTCGTGCCGCTGGCTTGGAGCGAACCTGACTGGCAGACTGGAGCATGAGGGGAAGGAGCGGAACGATAGCCAACTGGTGTGGACAAGTGATGGCGCGAGGCACGCGGCACGGTGCTGAAGCAGGCGGGGGGCACAACGCTCGCTCGCGCCACGCGCACGAGCAACCGATCATGCCGCTGACACCCGCCCGTGACTGCATCGACCCTTGCCTCAGGCAAGGCCGGTGATACCGCTGCTGACCAAGCAGGTCTTGTAGGCGCCGACCTCTTTGAACGGGTGGTACGCCGCGATGTGCTCGTCTTTGCAGGACTCCCACCCTTTAGGCGGGTCGCAGGCCTCTTCGACCAACAATTTGGAATTATTTTTTCTATCAACTTTGAGCACTTTATCCAAGCACTGGTCCATGAACATGTCCTCGCCCCACTGGCAGTCCTCGGTCAGAAGGAATAGGAAGGAGCCGGACGCGGAGAAGACGAGGAAGATGCGGACCAGGAAAAACACGAAGAGGCTGTCAATGGGGAAAGGAAGAGGAGAAGGAGGTTGAGAAAGAGAACAACGATACGGACCAGGAACGAGATGAAGAGGCGGTAAGAAACAAGGAAAAGCAGAAGCACGAGGAGAATGGGTGTTTGGGGCGTGTCCCCAGGAGGAGCACTGGACAGGATGCCCGAGGGTACGGGCAGTGGGGAAATATAGCGAGGGAGACGAGGAGAAGCGTGGCCACGGAACGATGGGAAGGGGGAGTAGCAGGGGACCGCCCACTGGCGGGAGCTGGATAAACAGGGCCAGAGCAAACACAGCACACGCCAATGATGCGGCAACCTACCTTCGCATTCCTGAGCCCCCTCCTCACAAACCCGACACAAGCCATCATGCTCACCACAGCGAGAGCCAGCTAGAAAGGCGGGAGCCTCATGCTTGCACTGTGAGGTCCTGTGACTAGTAGAAAGAGGGGTCCGCATTCCATTGTCATGCAACCAGTAAAGGCAATGCGGTACAGCGAGGCGAGGACGGCCGGGAGACAAGAGAAAAAGCCTTGTCCCCAGCCCACGGCCGCATATGGCGCGCCACGGCCAGGCACCGCAAGCGAATGGGGCTGCGCAACCTTGAGCTCAGACGGCAGCGGGCAAAACAAACTATGCGAAGCCCCTCTTCGGAGCGCACCTTGAAACTCGAAGGGGCGGGGGAGGGAGCTTGCCCGCCGCCCAGATGCAGGATTCGGGGGGCGCGGCAGCATGCAAAGGATCGGTAGCCAGCTGATCCAGCCACCGAATCAGCCCTGCTTTGGGCGGACACACGTCGGCCCTGAAAGCCCAATGGCAGGCCGATGGGAGCCGAGCCCACCTCGGCACAGAAAGATCGCGTCGAAAGTCGCGATGCCATGACATCGGCGCGAAGTTGCGCTGTCGCGACACAGGGCGCAAAAATGGATAGCGGAAGCGCGCGCTTCCGTCAGCGGCCGAGGGCCCGCCGAGGCTCAACGCGGGGCCAAAAGGAGGCCCTTTTCATTTGCATGCACAGGGCGTCAGCAAGCGAGAAATGCGCCTGGCCCCATGGTCCCACGGGGGCACATGCGCAGCCGTCGCGGCCGCGCATCCTCAGGAGGGGGCCTTGCCACGATCTCGTAGCTCGGGCATTCAGCAATAACTTGTAGAAGTCGAGCACGGCCAAGTGAGCAATTGGCGGGGCCGCCCGCAGCCGTACCGGGGGCATCGCACCACTGAACACGATGGATGGCGCCAAGATCCAGGAACTCGCGCAACCAGCGCACGTGGCCAAATAGCGCATTCTCGGTCGGCGTCTCAAGGTTCTCGCTGGAGGGCGACCTGCACGCGGACCTGGTATCAGAAATGAAGGGCGGGCGGAAACGAGCCCCTCTATTGTCTCGCTGGCTTTGTAGCTCAGGAGGGTGATAATCCCCGATGAGCTCGCGAAGCGCGATCAATGTTGGAGAACACTCGCCCAGACTACAGCAAGCGTTCCTGCCGCGCAACTGGACCGCACTTGGAGGCGACGGTGCCCACGTGGACTCTCGATGCGAGGCAGAACTTGCCCCTTGCTTCTCACGTGTCCACGACACAAACATTTCCAGCCTCGGCAGCCAGATCCCTTGACCCCATCGCCCTCTTCACCGGCGAGCGCCCGGCGCCCCGAGTCGCTGCGCAGATATACTGAGCCATCGGAAACCATGGGCTTATGCGATTCTTTTAAGCTCTTGCGACAGTATTCGGGAATGGGCGTTCAGTCGGGCGTCGTCGGCGTTCGTAGTCTCCTGAGCCTGCTGCGGAATCACAACGTACACCGGGGTCCAAGACTGCGCGAGGGTCGCGCATGCCGAAGGCCCCCTTAGGCGAACCAACACGCCACGAACACTTTTGGTAACCAGTATGTCTGGAGGGGCACCGACTAACTCAGGGCGAACGATTGGGCGATGCTGTTAGCGTACTCATCTCGGCGCATGACCACGCATCCGCCCGCGGTCTCGGCATAGAGCGCGCTGATAGAGCGATGGGTGCCTCACTTTCCTGGTCACGTGACATAGGTCCGAGGCCGGCCCTTTCCGCCGCCAAAATCAACAAAATCAGACGGAGGGGGGAAACGCGCAACGTGCGTCCTTGGCGCCAGCACCTGGCTTGAAACGTGAAAGGCAGCGTCGTGGCCCGCCCGCCTCCAAGTCCAGTTAGCGAGCGAAATGCCAAAGTACTCCCCAGAGGCAGTGCAAAGCAGACGGCGCGCTCTTGCTCTACAACGGCTTCGGTCAGTGCTCGATTGGCCAGCCCCGCGAGAAAGACGTCGTCGACGTCTAGGCTAGACAGAATCCAACCGGGAGGCGCGCAAATCCACGGGCCAAAAGAGGCGGGGACGCACGTCGGACAATACATGCAGAGGCCCCCACTGAAAACGCATCCTGGCCCACGAAGCCAGGCAGCAACAAACGCAATATCAAAATCTGCTCCGCCCCCCCCCCCCCCACCCCACCCCACCCCACCCCACTCCTCATTTTGAAGCGTTTCTCGATGGTTAATATACGCAAGACAAAATATACAGCGCACCTTGACGGCATATCACCCTGGGCCAATGCGAGCAACTCCTTCGCGAAGAACTTGCTGTCGAACCAGAGCCTGGGATCGGTCAATAGCGCAGGGGATACTTGCTTGGGGTTATTGATGATATCCTGCTCGGTCAACACGCCGTCCGGCGTGACCGCGACGGCCCGTTCGACCTCAGCTGACACCCACACGCGCATGGCCGCTATGTCGCCGGGGTGAATCGTTCCGAGCTGAGGCTCATCCAGGACTACTTTGGCCATGTCGCAGGCAAAGCATAGTTCGGCAAAGCGGCCCAAATCATCTGAGTCTACGGCGTAAATGGGGGCGCGGCCGATGTTGGCGACGTCGACGGTCCACATTGAAACGCCAGGGCGATGAGATGATAACCAGACACCGCTACGCTCGTTCATGGCCCCTGCGATTGAAGATATCCTGTTTGCAAATTATATTCTCGAGTTCGTATGATATGAACACCGCGTTGGAAAAGGGCCCTGCAACTGTTCCGTCGGACTCCCTCTTCAAAGACGTACTCGGTTTCCACGCGATCGTTGCGCCATTCGTGAAAGAGTAGCGAACGTTCTTCATGTTCGTCTTGACCCTCTTCAGTCCTGGATAGACGACTGCCACCTCTTTCTGATGCCACGGGCGTTTCAGAGTGGATCGCGTTGCGACGATCACCACCATGAGGCGAATCGCAGAAATCAGGAGACTGGGAAATGCCCCCGTCGAACGAGTGAAAGGGTCTCACCGAAATAGGGAAGTGGGCGCGGTTCGCGTGATTGCTGCCAGTGGCATCCCTTATGTTGAGGATGGTGCTCTGCGGTTCGCACAGCGGCACCTGGGCTAAACATCGCTGCCATTATACATGATTTTGCTGCGACAAGGCCCCGCAAACGTTGGGGGCGAGCATGCTCTTGGCCAGCTGCAAGGCAAACACTTTCTCAATAGCCTTTGTCGTGTATCGCAGTATCCTGGGAACCAGCTTGCCACCTCTGGGCATCTGGGATAAATCTGCACGGCCGGGAACTTAACCGAACGCGATAGGAGCCGCTTCTGCGGAGAGGCTGGCGATAAACGAGATTATCGATCTCATGGGCGGATCTAGATCGGTCTGGCGCCAAGCTAGATCACGAGAAAACTGCTTCCCCCCGCAAACCTCACACTTACGGTCCAACTTCTTGAGACATAGGTTCCACGCCCAATTCTGACACCCCGAACACACAGCGTCCGCCAACATAGTCGCTTTCCTTGGTTGACAGAACCGACTTAAGGAAGGTCGGAAAACGCGCCCCAAGCCCGGGCGAACAGACTCGAGAGAGAAAGTACTGAGGTCAAGCCGCGGAATAGCGGCATCCACTTGATTCACCAGTGAACCTTGCATCTCGAGCAAAAGCGGCTACGGAGGAGATGGCGGGAGGACGAGGAGGAGGAATGGAATGGAATGGACTTGAATCGAACGGAATGGAATGGAATGGAATGGAATGGAATGGAATGGAATGGAAATTGAAATGGAAATGGAAATGGAAATGGAAATGGGAATGGAAATGGAAATGGAAATGGAAGTGGAAGTGGAAGTGGAAGTGGAAGTGGAAGTGGAAGTGGAAGTGGAAGTGGAAATGGAAATGGAAATGGAAATGGAAATGGAAATGGAAATGGAAATGGAAATGGAAATGGAAATGGAAATGGAAATGGAAATGGAAATGGAAATGGACATGGAAATGGACATGGAAATGGACATGGACATGGACATGGAAATGGCAATGGAAATGGAAATGGAAATGGAATGGAATGGAATGGAATTGAATGGAATGGGCTCTATCGCGGGGCGATACGACGACGGGACAAACTACGAGGCCTTAGCTCGGTTCGAACCCTGATCTTCGGGTCATTGCCCAGCCTCGAAATTGGTGATATAACGCCGACGAACTGCATTCAGAGGCTTAGAGCAAGCCTTTGCCAAGTTCGCACGGAGTTGCTCACTACCGCAGAAACTACATCTGCTGCAGATCCAAACTCTGGGAGTGGAGGAAAACACTAAAAGGTGGGACTGGTGGACCCACCCACCCCCAATGCGAGCCCTCTTCCCCCTCGGCAACTGAAACATATTCGAGCCTACACCTATGAGATCGAAACACTCCGAATTCCTCCAACTGGTGAGTGTGTCATGAGACGCACAACCTCCACAACGCGAGCACCGATTGCCGCCACCACACAACCGATGCTCGGAGGAATAGAAGGCGAGAGAGGAGGGAGCAGGAGGAGGGGCCGGCCTCGTCGCAGGTCGGGAGGTGGTGGGCGACGGTCTCGCGGCCATGGCCTCGAGGGTAGCGCGCAGGAGCCTCCGACGCACGAGACCGGCATCAACCTCGGCCTTTCGGACAC